AAGGGCAGCAGTTCAAACCACCAGCAGCTCCACTGTAGGAAGCTGTAGCAGCCTACTTCTATAAAGATGTCCAGCCTTGAACAGGTGTGGGAAGGAGAGTGGAACTACACCCATGCATATATAGGACATTTCTATGTATGTAGTTTTATATGCTGCAAATACATCCAGGAGCATAACAGAGCATGCATAAGGCAGAATTATGAAAACTTCTTCACCATAACCAAGCACCCTGAGGGAGGGAGTCACTGGTCCCGGGGGCCTCAGGACGACAGTCTCTGGGCACATCAAGTTCAACTGGCAAGCTCAGTCTACAAAGACAGTGTCCAACATCCTATTTTGGTGAGTGGCAGCTGGGATCTTAGACGATTGTGGGCATGTAACCCAGAGGAATTACCACAAGCTGAATGAAGGTCAAACGTGATGGTGGGACAAAAGGAAAGTAAAAGGAAATAGAAGAAAGAACTAGGAGGCAAAGAACATTTATACAGGTCTAAATAAAGGCACATCCATTTGTAAATATATCTATATATACCAATAGGGACCTGGATCTATGTACCTATATTTATATGTTAAGTATTAAGGTAGCAGACGGACATTGGGCCTCTACTCAAGTCCACCCTCAATGCAAGAACGCTGTGTTCTAATAACCTGGCATTCTGTGATGCTCACCTTCCAGACATGATCACTGAAGACAAAATGAGTGCATAAACAAATATAGCGAAGAAAGCTGAGGGTGCCCGGCAATTGAAAGATATAGCATCTGGGGTCTTAAAGGCTTGAAGTTAAACAAGCAGCCATCTAACTGGGAAGCAACAAATCCCACATGGAAGAATCACACAGCCTGTGTGATCATGAGGTGTGAACAGGATCAGGTATCAGGCATGAGAAGACCCAAAACAAACAATCATATTGATGATAATGGGGAGGGGAGGGGGGGGCAGAGTGAAGACCCAAAGCCCATCTGTAGATGATTGGACATCTCTTCACAGAAGAGTCACGAAGAAGGGATAAGCCAGCCAGGGTGCAGTACAATTCTGAGAAAATATACAACATTCCTCTAGTTCTTTAATGCTTCCCCCACCCCCACTACCATGACCCCACCCTCACTACCATGACCCCATTTATACCTTACAAATCTGGCTAGACCAGAGCATGCACACTGGTACAGATAAGAGCTCTCGGCACATGGAATGCAGCCCAGATAATCCCCTCAGGACCAATAATGAGAGTAGCAATACCATAAGGACAGGGGTGGGGGGAGGAGAAAGGAAGAACTGATCGAGGTATAACCCCAACCACCCCTGCTCCCCCCAGGGTGACAAACAACAGAAACATGGATGAAGGGATTCTGTGGACAGTGTAAGGTATGAAAATAATAATAATTCATAATTTATCAAGGGCTCATGAGGGTGGAGGGGTGGGGAGGGAGAAAAAAAAAGAGGAGCTGATGCCAAGGGCTCAAGTAGAAAGAAAATGTTTTGAAAAGGATGATGGCAACATGTGTACAAATGTGCCTGACACAATGGATTGTTATAAGAGCTGTAAGAGTCTCAATGAAATGCTTTTTAAATAAATAAATAAAAGTTTGTGCACAGCAATCTACATCCTCCCCGATCTGAAGTAAGCAAAAAATAATGAAGAAAATCAAAGGCATGCAGAATTAGCCCAAAGGTCTAATGGGCCACGTGAACCTCCGTCCCATGACCCTGAGATCAGAAGCACAAGACGGTGCCCTACTACCACCGCCAAGGCCTCTGAAATGAGCCACCCAAGAAGGTCTTGGCTAGTGTGGGAGAGGAATATGGAACACAATTCAAAACCTGCAGAACTAGTGAAATCCCCAAACTATGGCCCTTGGACACCATTCAAGCCTTGAACGGCTTTCTCCCGGTTGGCCCTGGGGAAGGTCCTTGTCTGTTTGATTTGTAGGACTAACTGAGATCCCGTCGGCCTAGTGGTTAAGCCTTGGGCTG